TAAAATGTAGGGGTTCTGTTATAATAAGGTATCTTTAGAAGTTTTTTTGAGGACTCAAGTCCTAAATTCTAAGCCACTGTCCTTCAGTGTTTGTATTGATCCAGAGGAAGTAAGATCTACCTTCTCTAGCAGTGATTTTCCAGTGGACTTTACTTGTCGACTTGGTAGGGGAAAAGATAATTAGAGACATAGCTGCTCATTATGAGGATGGATGAAATTCTAACTTTTATGTTCTTTTTTAAATGTTTTTATTTATTTTGAAAGAAAGACAGAGCAAGCAGGGGAGGGGCAGAGAGAGAGAATCCCAAGCAGGCTCCGCACTGTCAGTGCAGAGACTGACATGGGGCTCAATTCCATGAACGATGAGATCATGACCTGAGCTGAAATCAAGAGTCAGTAGCTTAACTGACTGAGCACCCAGGTGCCCCTAAAATTCTAACATTTAGAGACTACTTATGAGTTACTTAGAAATGTAATTATAAAACACATCTATGAAGATTGGAGTAGATGACTGGATCATTTGAAAATAAGAGAAAATATGATACCTGGTTTTCAGCTGTAAGCTGACTTTCCAAGTTCTCATGATTTCTGTAATTAAAATGGGGTTTTTTTAAATCCCAATCCTGCTTCATTCTTTAATAGTGTAGGAAACTAATGTCACTGTATCTCATGTACTCTCTCAGTCTAGGGTAGAATCAGGACAAAATACCATCTGTTTCTCTTATAACATCCAAAGAGCAGCAATATCTGGTTCGGCATAAGCAAAGATGTAAAGCACAGGTCTCCTTGTTAAATTTGTCTTTAATTACTTTGGAGCTAAAGAAAACTGAAATGCTACCTCATCATGTCTTGTGAAGAGGAAATACACAGAATAAACCATTCTCCTCAATAGTTTATTATGAGACCAGATCGACCTAGAGAAATTTCTAGAAAATGCTGTAAAAGCGTAACTGGTAGTTACTCACATCCTGGACAATAAAACCTTCAGTGGTGGCAGTTAGAATAATTCTTTCCCACCATATCATAAAAGAACGCTTCTATTTGCAGAATTTTCCAACTGAGTAAATCTGTTTTTATTTTTCACATATAAATAGCTTTAGTAGACTGGAAATTTCTTTCAGAGCTTTAAATGTAAACATTTTATGGATGTTTATGGATGGACACATTTTGTATGTGTATGTATGTAATGTATATGGCAAAATGATATTATTTTTTTAAAGAATGAAACAGTGAGGTATTTTGTCTGTTTCCTCATCTTAGGTAAATAAGGGCAAAATATCTGTGCATCTAAGTCACTTCTACCCTTTTAACATCACACCCTGTGAAAGGCAGAGCAGAAGTATGTGGCTTTGCATGTAACTGTCCCATGGCAAGATCTGTGGTAGTTCAGAGTATCTTCTCTGGATTTCAGGGGGCCTGGATTAAAATTCCAACTGTGTTACTTCCCACTGTATAGTGTGGGCAAGTTGCTCATCTTTTTTGAGCCTCATTCTCCTCATCTGTAAAATGGTGATCAAACAAGTATGGGCATCATAGTACCTTCTGAGGATTAAAGGAAGTAATCCACAGAAAGTGCTCTCATGGAGCCTGGCACATAAAGACACTCAGTACTTTCGTGGACTGTTTGTCAGTCTTTACCAAAGGAGGGCATTCTCTTTGTTGGACAAGCTGAAGAACTAATAATGAAGACGTGAATGAGTGCTACTGGATTAAGAGTTTACTCAGGGAAATCAGTAGCCAAATGTGTTAAAGTCTGATAGGCAGGAAATGCCTTGCAGTACATCCCAATCTTGCCACCCAGTGATTAATATTTTGCCTCCTTATAGTTTGGCTCAAGTCATTTTATGGATATGGACTCACAGATCTCAAGATCTGTGACCTCAAGAGGTCAAGGACATTGGTAAACACAAAAATGGGGACTTGCTGCTCAGTTCAGTTAGCGCTGTCTCATTCTCTGCCCCACCCACTTCCCAGTTGTTTTTCCTACAGTAGAATTTCTATTTGCTCACTTTCCTTGGCTCCTTAATGACCTGTTATTAAAGACCTACGTCTCTGCCTTGGTGTTCAAGGTCCTTTATTATTTATTGTCCAGTATTGTACAAGATGAGGCCAACTATGCTCTTTCATAGCATACAGCAATCCAACCAGACACAACTGTTTGCAACGTTCTCAATCACCTCTTCTCCTCCAGACCTCATCCATCTGCATTCCTCTAGCTATGTGATAGTGCTAGCCCTACTCTCCAAGCCCTAGCTCCTAGTCAACTCACTCATAACAGAGTCCTTGCTCATGTCAGCAGTTTATCTTATAAACTCTTGCCCAATTTCTTGCCCAGCAGCTTTCAGATTTTTAGATGGAATCACAGTAGGAAACACATTGTGTACTGACACATGTTTTATTCAAATACACACACACATGTGTACAAACTTCATGAAACAATACTTACTTTCATTATTTGCAATATCACTCTAATGTTTTTTTTTTTTCTCTTTCTTTTGGCAAAAACTCTGGTTGCAATCTACTAAATAGATTTGAATTAGTCTTTAATTGTATCATAACCTGCAGTTTGAAAAACACTGGTCTACACAACCCATACAGAATATCCTTGATTACTTATTGTGTGGAGGCATTATGTTCCTTACCAGACTGAGAGCTATTCATGGGTGGTACCATGTGGTACAACATAGAGTCTTTTATTAGATTTAATCATGTTTTTCATATTAGTTATGGAGTAACTGTTTATAGAAGCAAAAAAAGGGAAGAAGGAAAAGAGGGAGGGAGGAAAGAAAAAATAAAGTCTTGAGGAATATTTATTAGACTCAGAAATTGAGATTGCCACTATTTAGCAATTCAACAGATAGGGATCATTTAAGTTATTTACAGGTGAATTTTTCAGTCAAAGTGGAATGTGTTTCTTTAAATAACTTTCTTCAACATCAGTTTAAACGTAGAATTTAGTGACACATCATAGATTCTGGAATGAGAAGAAAAATAGTGAGAACAAAATGACTATATATATATATAGAGAGAGAGAAAAGATAACCTCACTCATGCTATGTTCCTTCTCTCTAGTGGGGGGAGGGGGTGAGATCGAGGGTGTCAAGTGTACCCAGAGGTGAAAAAAACTTTTGACTTGATTTCTGTAAAGCCTGTGAAAATGCAGTTCTATTATTCCTGAATGCCCTGAAACATCTATATGTGCTGCATACATCAAACAATTTCTGTGTCCTGCCTATAAACAAGTTCAGTGCCAAGTGCTAACACTTCCCAGCACCTCAAGTGTATAGAATGAAACAGGAAGTACATTCTGTCTCATGACACCTGAAATATTACTTCTCACAGCTGTGCAAGATTACTGGTTTTCCCAGATTCAAAGAGGAAAATGTTGGAAGAAATTTAAATTTGAGAAGTCAGCGTATTTACTGTAATGACATACCCAGTTTGATTGGCATTGAAACTTAAGTCTCTGTCACTCGAAGTCCATCCTCTTAACTAACATGCTATACTATACATACTCGATATAGATGAAGTAACATCACAAAAACAATGACTTCCATGGACATAAATGCTGTGTCCAAGTCCTTCATACATATTTGTTTGCTATTTTCTGATCTTCAGCATGACAGTGAGTGTATAGACAAGAACAATAAAAGCAGGATTAAAAGGATTCTATAAATGCTAATAAACTCAATAATATTATGTAAAAAAATATTTCCATAAATCACTGAGAATTAAGTCCTACATACTTCACTCTGAAAAAATGTCAATGGAAATTTTAGGAATTACCATTAAATATTGACTTCTATTGCCAAAAAGGAATTATTAAAAATAAAAATATAATATACATAACAATGCATACGATTCATTTTTGTGCCTTTGTTACAATTTAGAGAACGAAATCATTTGAAAATGAAGATTTACAGTGGCTCCATTGACAGAAATTGAGGCATGTTGTAATGTTGAATTTCTTTATTTTTTTTTAAGTTTATTTATTTATTTTGAGAGAGTGAGACAGAGACAGTATGAGAAAGAAAGAGGCAGAGAGAGAGGAAGAAGAGGGAGAATCCCAAAGAGGCTGTGCACTGTCGGTGCTGAGTCTGACGAGCGACTCGATCTCACGAACCATGAGATCATGACCTGAGCTGAAATCAAGAGTCAGATGTTTAATTGACTAAGTCACGCGGGCACCCCATAATGTTGAATTTCCTTAAAATTTATGGTTTTTCTTTTTAAAAATTTAAAAGAAAATATATTGTCTTCCTTTGGAATATATATAGAAAAAGAGGGGGGTGGGAATGTTTTATAATAAAAAAGAGATGTACAAATACTGACATTTTACTAATTAATAATTTCAGTGTGCTATGAAAATATTTAGCAAAACATCCACTGCCCAGAGAATGTCCATTTAATTAACTTCATCTGACAATGTTAGAAATTGGCTTAAAAGTGTTGTCAAATTTAGTGGCGCTTGGGTGGCTCAGTCAGTTAAGCATCCAACTTTAGCTCAGGTCATGGTCTTATGGTTCATAGGTCCGAGCCCTGTGGCAAGCTCTGTGCTGACAGCTTAGAGCCTGAAGTCTGCTTCAAATTCTATCTCTTCTTCTCTCTCTGCCCCTCTAAAGCTCATGCTCTGTCTCTCACTCTCTATCGAAAATAAACATTAAAAATAATAAAAAATTTAAAAATCGTCAAATTTCAAATTTAGACATTTATTCTTTACTAGTTTTGTCAGGTATCATTTTGTTTCAGAACTATAGACTGCTCCTGCCAGCTCTCTTGAAAATTCACATCTTTGGGGAGAAGCAGGTGGTGTTAGTGAACGAATATTGAACTGAAGGCTGAATTCATTACAATTAGAAGATTAATTTCAAATCCATGCCCTGCTTACCGGGTTAGCAGCCATATACATACAGTTTACTTTGCTTAAATACGCTAGTATTATTTTGCAAAATAAATGTAAACTTTAATGCAGCTACTTTAACATAAGATACTTTTTTCAGATGGTAACCATACCACCACTAAGTTATCACCATCAATTCCTACAACAGAAGTATCTGTATCAACATCAAGCATAATGTCAAATTCTGTTTCGAAATCAACAGTTGGAATGTCTCCTAAAGGTAGGATTAACAATTAGTGAAATTTATCCCAATAAAATTAGTAGCGTCCATATAATCTAATCACAGAAAAATAATTTGAAGTGCTGTATATATTATTATGAAGGTCTGTGTAACTTCACTGTTTTGAAACTTATGTGTTATTTTGGGTTGAATACAGAGCCCTGAGATGACAGTGAGCTTCTTTGATTGTATCCCTTTGGATCATTTCCTGTTTGAGAATAATCCTATTGTGAATGTTGCATACACAAAGTTTATTTTTAGAGAATAAAAAATTACCATTTCTTTAATCATAAAAATATGTTTCTAAACATTTCAGTTTTTCTTAAGCCTCACAGTTAACAAGGTGAAGCTGTATTAGTAATAGACTGATTTGTTAGTTATATTGGGCTGATAATAGATTTAATTTATAAGGTTCCATAACAATGTCATCACTATTTTCTTTTAAGTTTATTTATTTATTTTGGGAGGGAGGGTGGGGGGAAGACAGAGAGAATTCCAAGCAGGCTCTGCACTGCCAGCATGGAGTCCAACCTGGAGCTCAAGCCCATGAAACATGAGATCATGACCTGAGCTGAAATCAAGAGTCTACTGCTTAACTGACTCAGCCACCCAGGTGCTCCATGTCATCATTATTGTTAATGAACTGAATGACACCTGGATTATGTTTTATGGTTAGAGGTATTCTCACCATCCATGAGAAGTAAAAATGAACCATTGGGGTCATTTAATTAAAAACCTGAGAGGTTATCAATCCAGTGCATTCTTCAGTGTCCATCCAGGAACACACATCAGATGAGGCACGTCATTCAGGTTCAATAACCAATGGAGAGAGAAAAATAAAATGTGTTTATTGTTGATGAGCAGAAACCCGGTTAGAATGCTAAGGTCAGAGGAAGATCTGAAAATCATACCCTGTAATAAGGAGATGAATTAAATTCTTTCTCACCTCTCTTTCTCACCTCTCTACTTACTCTTCATTTTTCATTCGAAGGCCAAATTCAATTGCATGTAGAGGACATGAGGGCTAGTTCACTGGTCTTACAAGGGGCGGTGATCCTCAAAGAAAAAGAGTATGATGAATATAGTCCATTATTTCTGAAATGTGCAATTCTAGGATGAAACCAAACCAGTTCTCTTGGAACTTCTCTACCAAACCTGGAGAAGGCATTACACAAAGAGGATTGCCCAGTGGATTTTATTCCCAGAATGTGGTACTTTTATTGCCAACCAAAGGATACTCCAAATGACACAGTCAAAAAAAGCCAGGGTTCATGAATCCTCCAGCCAACTCCTGCACACTAGATTTTTTATTTTATTTTTAAAAATTGTTTCAGCCCTATGTTCTCAGTGCTTAAGCAGAGGCATTCTAGAACTTTGACAAAGTGTAAGTATTTGCTGCTTCTCTCTCTCTCCCTCTTTCTATCACTCTCTCTGTGAGTTGCCACCTGAGTTCTTGGCATAAAATTACACTCATATGATAAAAACATGTTATTTTTGTGATCAATAACTACCTTCAAAAGTACCAATAAAGAGAAGGTAGGTGCTGACATTGCATGCAGACTCAAAGGGTTGAAGTTTTACAAGTTTTACATGAACTCCTTGGAACTCATGCTTTCCCAATGAGACAATTCCTAGCCCTGACCTCAGTGACCTGTGGTGATTAACAATGTCCAAATAACACAGACTCCAACCACTATGTTGAATAGCCATGAAAGGGCAGAGGAGGAAGGGTCGGTCAAGGCATTCAGGCAGAATTGTCATTTGTGATACCAGGAATGCATCTTTCCTTACAGGCTTGGAAGGGAAACTCTATACCTACTCATATACTTAGGAGACTATCCTGGCAACTTTTTCACTGGAGGTTCCTGTAGGCAACCCTGAAGCCCCTTATCTGAAACAAGTCACTTGATAAAACACTTGAAATCATATGCACAAATGCACACATACACACACACACATTTTCTTCTTAATTTCTTTTTTGGACATTTTGCTTTATATTACTCAGTTAACAAAAACTAAACTCTAATCTGTGTTCTTCAAAAGTTCTCCCACATGAAGTTTATTTATTTATTTATTTAATGTTTTTTATTTCTTTCTGAGATAGAGACAGCATGGACAGGGGAGGGTCAGAGAAAGAGGGAGATACAGAATCTGAAGCAGGCTCCAGGCTCTGAGCTAGCTGTCAGCACAGAGCCTGACACAGGACTCAAACCCATGAACTGTGAGATCATGACCTGAGCCGAAGTCGGACGCTTAACCGACTGAGCCACTCAGGCGCCCCATGAATTTTAAATTATTCACATTCAATTGTACAAATTGTAAAAGGCCAGTAAAGCTTTTCTTTTTATTACTTTTTATTACAACAATGTTCAGATGTACCACAAATGAAGAATACTATAATTAATACCCACATGCCCATCTCCCAGAATCAATAATTTATCAAGATTTGACCATATTTGCTTCATTTTTTTTTCTTTCTCCTCCCTCCCTCCCTCCCTCCCTCCCTTGTTCCCTTTCTTCCTTCCTTTTCCTTTTTTTCCCTTTCTTCTTGTTTATTTGGGTTTTTTGTTATTGTTACTGAGGGTTTTTATGGGAATCCAGATATTTTGCCATTTTCCCTCTGCACACTAAATGTGCATCTCCAAAAATATGGACAATTTATTATAAAACTATAATATCATTATCAAATCCCCCAAATTAGTAATACTAATGCCCTAGTAAAATCTAATGTCCATGTATAGGGGTTATAAGGGTTAAAATCTAGTAACCATGGATATGGCAGTGGGAAAGAGAGTAAGGGAGGGAATGAAGTCCATCGTGGAATCTCTCAAGAAATCAGCTGAGAAAGTGCTGGTGCAGAAGAGAGAAATAAAGAAGGAAAGAAGGAAGGAAGGAAGGGAGGGAGGAAGGGAGGGAGGGAGGGAGGGAGGGAGGAAGGAAGGAAGGAAGGAAGGAAGGAAGGAAGGAAGGAAGGAAGGAAATAAAAGAGAGAAAGAGAGAGAGAAGGCTATGATGTCTACAGTCTACTGTCTAATCCAATCTAAGAAGCAGAACCAGCATGGTAGGAGGGACCAGTGGAGCCATCGGGCAGAGGGTGGTCCATTGTGCTCATAGGAAAATAAGGGAACATGGGACAGACTCGTTTTTGTCTGGCTTATTTGATCACCATTTGTGTATTAAATACATGAGTGAGTTGGGCTGTGTGTGTGTGTATATATATATATATATGCTGGATATTGCCCATGTTCCTAAAGGTAATGTAGTTAATACAAAGATAATGAAGATGATGTAAAACTTGTCTCAAATTCTCATATTCTAAGCAATACATCAATATATACAGCTTCCTGACTTCAGGCTTGGGAGGAGTTTAAATTTGGAGGAGTTTTATACATTGTTTCATCCTCCACAACAAGCACTTCAAGGTTATATAATATTGCAAACCTATATCTATGATAAAGTGATTCTAGTCCACTTTCCTCATGGGCACCATGGGCATGTTAGACTCAATAAAAGTATTTACAAAAAAAAAAAATCCAACGTGGAGAAGCTTCTCTTTTTTCTTTCTAAGGCTTCCCAAGTCCGATTTTCTTGCTTAAAGGTCAAAAGACACTTGATTTAATAGTGTTTATGTCTGTCTAAAGCATGTAAATTTTCTTCCTTTGACAATGGCAGAAATACTATTAGAAAAGTGGAATGTGTACTAGTGAGATGGGAATTCTTGCAGCAACATAGCCACAGTGGCAGAGGTGACTAATAAACCTTTGCTTGGAGTAGGGCTTGATTTCAGAGGCTTCCCCAGTTAGAGGGGTGGTATCTGATCTCTTCCTAGATATGTACCAGGTGCACTGCCCATTTTGTTCAAAGGCCAAGTGGCCAGAATTAGAATCAATTTTTGGCAGACACTGAAAGCCATCATCACAAAATCAACTTCTAAGATACATAAATAAATCTGAAATTTCATTCTTGAAACATAATCATTATTCAACTTGATTTTTAAAGCACGTAAGAGTCAAACATTTTTTTAATTGACTGAATTAATTTGTCAGCACTGATATTTCACACTCTGATACTAAATAGATGTTCAGTTTCAACTGAGGTCAGTAGAGGTACCAGGTATTTTTGGCCATCTCTTCCATATAGGGTGCCAATTATGGTATTGTTTATGATGTGCATCCTTTCTAGAAACTGACTAACATAAAACTGGAAAGAACAGACTTTAAAAGACAGCTTGTAAGTTTTGTACACTTGTAAGTTTTCTTATAATATTGGTGAGGAAAGTAGGGTTGGGTACCATGTTTTTCTCCATATTTTTCTTCTGTTCTCCATTGTTTTTATATTCCTTACTGAGTTTGAAGTGGAAATGACTTGCCTGGGATATCTTTGTACAATTTTTTTTTTGTTTTTTCCTTTTCATGGAATTTTGTAGTGGTAAAACTGACCTTTGCTTTTAGTTTATACTCACAGGATATAAAATGTTTATAAATTAGACATTTTCTTTAAATCCCGATGTTCTCTTGCAATAATAAGGATGCATTTATACTTCAGAATTTCAACATATTTGGCACATCAGAAGAATTTTATTATAAGTTATATGTAGATTGCTACCCATATTTGAAAGTGAATATTCACTCACTAACAATAAATATAAAATAAATTGTGCTTTGTTTTGCTATAGGTAGAGTTACATTGATTAGTTACAATGAACATGGGCATGATCAAAGATCACTGTTCACATACAAGCCCAGGAACACCAGAAATGAATAGCCGTTTAGCTCTTGGGTTTCCAAAGACCAAGGCTGAAACTGAAGCCAAGCAGACTTGGGCTGAGTGCTTGGGCCAAAGCTCAAGTTTGTTACACATCTTCCCTCTATCAAACATGAAGTCAGGATAGCTATAAAAGAAAAGGGGCAAGGGCTTTGGAAACTAAGAATTATAAACACTTGATGCTTTTTCAATTTATATTAATGATTATTGTTATAAGTGTCCTAATTATTTCCTGTAATCATTCCCACTCTTGAATTTTCAGACAATATATGAGATATATGTCAGTGGAAGGCAGGAAGCAAGGTGACTGTAAAAATTCAAGTTAGCCTCTTATTGGTACCAAGATGCCAAGACTAGTAGTGATGAGGTGAAAACAAAGGTGCCACATCTTGCTGGAAGGGACAGTGCATTTATATCATTATATCTTTACTTTTTTTTTAATGTTTTTTTATTTATTTCTAGGAGAGAGAGAGAGAGAGAGACAGCGTGAGCAGGGGAGGGTCAGAGGGAGAGGGAGTCACAGACTCTGAAACAGGCTCCAGGCTCTGAGCTGGCAGTCAGCACAGAGCCCGACATGGGGCTCGAACCCACGAACCGTGAGATCATGACCTAAGTGAAAGTCGGACGCTTAACTGACTAAGCCACCCAGGCGCCCCTACATCTTTACTTTAAGATGGCATCATATGAGTGGGCAATGCAAAATCTTAAACCTAGCTTTTAGGAATAATGTTTCCTTTGTTGGTTTCTTCTTTTAAAATATAACCACATATTGGGTGTCAAAGACTTTGAGAAAGTTTTAAGTGCTTCAACGTTTTCCATGTTACAATTCACAGAATCTACCTATTATAGCCACTTTTCATTTCTATAATAACCTATGTCCTCTAATAAATGGTGAGGACAGAATTGCAGAAGACAAGACTTTCACCACCTTCTTGGAGGTGAGTGTCCACAGCAATCCTCCAAAGGATTCCTTAGTATTTTCTGATATAGAGCTCCAGCCAATTTATCCTTGAAAACTCTCTTCTAGATGGGTTTTAAAGCATTAAACTGTGCAGAGCCAAATTTTTCTTCCCCTCCAAAACAGTGTACATTCATATAAGAACCAGAATTTTATATATGTCACATAGTAAAAATGGAACGTTATGTCCTAATCACAAAAGGATATCCTAAAGTGTTTTAAGAAGGGAATGTTGAAAATTATGGGTGTCACACTGGTAAGTCATATTCACTACTTAAGTAAAATCTTTGTCCTTTTGCTGGTCCCGATGTCCTGTATGAGTCCCACCTTATCTGAAACATTTACTATCTGCCTACCGTATGCCAGGAATTAACTACGCAGATTAAAGAGATGATTAAGAGTTGGATAGTGCCTTCAAAAATCTAGAAATGGGCCTTTGACTGAGAACTCAATGAATATTTCATAAGTGAACAAATTAATTAATTACAAGAGTTTGTAAGCTTCTTTACGATTTATGTAATTTGGAAGTTCCAATGCCATAACTAAATCAACAAAATGAAATGTAATTCTGGGGGGGTGGGGGGATGTGAAGGTCCTATCAGGTTATTTTTCTCTTTAGGAAAAATAAAATAATTTTAAATCATTTTTTACTATATATATATGTGTGTGTGTATATATATATAGCAAAATATAGATTATATATAGTAAAAATATATATTTTATATACAGTAATATATATTTATATATTATACATAGTAAAATATATTTATATATAATGTATAAAAAATATATATGTACATATATATTGCATATTTAAAGGTACCCAAGTAACTATCTGCAGTGAAAATTTGCTTTGGGAGCCCATCATAGAAAAAGTGTGTGTGTGTGTGTGTGTCTGTGTGTGTGTCTCTGTGTGTGCACGCTCGCGCATGTGTGCTTTCATTGAGTCACCGAAGCTTTCAGTACTTATATTCGTTACTTCAGACAAAAGGAGATAGAAAGTGGAAAAATGAAAGATAGGCAAATACTGACCCAGTACCTCTGGAGAGGGATTGTAGTTCACCTCCAGGTTTGACTTTTATTTATTCCTTGACAGGTGAGATGAAATTGTGATTAATAATAATGTCATCTGTCTTATCAAACTAGGAACAACAAATAAGGAATCCTTAAATACACCTTTGCTGCCCACAGTTTCTTCACCAACTACAATAATTAAAGCTGAAGGTGAGTAATGATCATTTGCAATCACTTTTCTTCCATGTGTATAATTCACATACCATAATAGTCACTCTTTTGAAGAGTGTACAATTCAGTGGTTTTTAGTATACTTAGAAGATTCTGCTATCACCACTCTCTAATTCTGGAACATTTCATCACCCCATAAGGAAACCCTATATCTATTACCAACCTCTTCTCACTTCCCTCTACTCCCACTCTACTCCCAATAACCACTAAACTACTTTCTGTCTCTGCCTATTTTAGAAATTTCATATAAATGGAATAATATTGTATAAGATCTTTTATGTCTGACTTTTACTTAGCGTAACATTCTCAGGTTCATCCATGGTATAGCATTTATCTGTATGCAGTTCACTCTTTTATGAGTGAATAATATTTCATGGCATGGATATACCACATTTTATTTATTTGTTAGTTAATGGACATTTCAGTTGCTTCTACTTTTTGGCTATTATAAATAATGCTGCTATGAACATTCTTATACAAGTTTTTTGTGGCCATATCTTTTCATTTCTCTTGGGGTATGTGTCTTAAAGTGGAATTGCTGAGTCACATGGTAACTCTACATATTAACTTTATGAGAAACTGATTTCCCAAGCAGCTTCTCTGTATGACAATACCACCAGAAATGTATGAGGGCGCTGATTCTCCATTTTCTAGTCAATACTTGTTATTGTCGGTCTTTTTCATCATAGCCATTCCAGTGTGTGTAAAGTGGTATCTCACTGTGGTTTTGATTTACATTTCACTAATGACTAGCGATGTTAAGCACTGTTGTATGTACTTGCTGACATTTGTATATCTTCTTTGCAAAAATGTCTACTTAATCATTTCTCATTTTTTAAAATTTGGGTTATATTTTTGTTGTTGAGTTGTAAGCCATTTTAAATATATTTTGGAGACTAGAGCCTTCTTGGATAGATCATTTGTAAATACCTTCTTCTACTTGTAGGTTGTCTTTTCATTTTCTTGATGATATCTTTTGAAGCACTATAATCTTGAATTTTGATGAAGGAAAATTTACCTGTACTTTTTTCTGTCATGTAGGGAAGGTAAAATTTTACCTCTACCCATTTTAGGTTTTCAGCTGAGACTCTTTAACAAGAAGACAGATTAACGTGATAAAAAAAACAAACAAGATAAACAATAAACGTGGACAGCACACATCACATGAGAAACCTAAAACAAAGAGTATCTCAAAGCAGTGGCTTAGAATTTTGGCTCATATAGCATCTTTAACAAAGAACAATAAGTTTGTAGCTAAATGATTGGACCAAAGAAAGTAATTTAGGTTTCCAAGGGTGGAAATCTAAGGAAAAGTAAATACATATAGAAGGAAGTTAATGGACTTTCTTGAGGCTTTTTTTTTTTTTGAGAGAGAGAGAGAAAAAGTGTGTGCCATGCAAGTGTGCTCAAGTTGGGGAGGGGGAGAGAAGGAAAGGGAAAGAGCAGGCATCATGCCCACTACAGAGCACAATGCAGGACTCTATCATATCTCGACCCCAAGATCATGACTGAGCCAAAATCACATCTGACACTTAATCGACTGAGCCACCTAGGCACCCCAGTAAGGTTTGTTTGCAGATTCCCAGTGCCTTCTCTGGGCTGATAAAATTCTGTCTCCAGTAAAAGGAGAGTTTATATCCTGCCCTTAAGCAGAAAAGCTTTTTTCTGCATTGGCTGACTGTGGTTTAAAATAATTTTTATGCCAAAGAGGCATATTTTTTTTCTTAAATAAATTATTGTCAAGTTGGTTTCCAAATAACACCCAGTGCTCATCCCAACAAATGCCCTCCTCCATGTCCATCACCCCTTCTTCTCTCCCCCACCCCCATCAGCCCTCTGTTCTCAGCTTTCAAGAGTCTCTCATGATTTGCCTCCCTCCCTCTCCCTAACTATTTTTCCCCTTCTCCTCCTCCGTGGTCCCTCATCAAGTTCCTCCTAATCCACCTTTATGTGAAAACATATGGTATCTGTCCTTCTCTGCCTGACTTATTTCACTCAGCATAACACACTCTAGTTCCATCCATGTGGCTACACATGGCCAGATTTCATTCTTTCTCATTGCCATGTAATATTCCATTGTATAAATAAACCACATCTTCTTGATCCATTCCTCAGTTGATGAACCTTTAGGCTCTTTCCATGTTTTGGCTATTGTTGAGAGTGCTGCTATGAACATTGGGGTACATGTGTCCCTATAAAAAGGCATATTTTAAGGTGACATATTCTGGTTTTCTTCCACCAGTCAGGTCAAATCTGAGAAACCATTGCTCAAGTCAAGGTCACAAAGATTTATACGAATAGTCTCTCTAAGAATTTTGTAGTTTTAGCTTTTCCATTTAAGTCTTTAATTTTGTATATGGGTGAGGTAAAGGTCCAGCTTCATTCTTTTGCATACAATTATCCAGTTGTCCTAACACCTTTTGTTTGAAAAGATTTTCTTTCCCTTTTTAAATTGTCTAGGCACTCTCAATGAAAATCAGTTGGCCATAAATGTATGAGGTTTCTTTCTGGACTCAAACTTGTATCTGTTTCTATGCCAGAAACCTACACTCTTGATTACCATTTGCATTAAGTTTTGAAATCAGGAAATGTGAGTCCTCCAAATTTTTCTTCTTTTTCAAGATTATTTTTACTATTCTGGTACACTTGAGTTTTCATGTGAAATTTAGGATTAAGTAGGCAATTTCTGCAAAAAGTCAGTTGGGATTGTGATGGGGTGGTATCAAATCTGCAGATCATGTTGGGAAGTGTTGCCATCTTAGCAATCTTAAATCTTACCACTTGCAAATATAAGACAACTTTCTGTTTATTTTAGGTTGTCTTTAATTTCTTTTTATAATGTTTGTAGTTTTCAGCATAGAAAACTTGCATTTCTTTCGTCAAATTTATTCCTAACATTTTATTAACTTTCATGCTATTATAAATGGAATAATTTTCTTAATTTTGTTTTTGGATTGTTCATTGCTACTTTATGGAAATACAATTTATTTTCACATGCGGATATTGTATCTTGCCATCTTATCAAATCCATTTATTGATTCTAAATTGCATGTGTGTATATTCCTCTGGATTTTCTATATACGAGATTGATCTACAAATAGAGTAGTTTTACTTCTCCTTTTTCAACCTAGATGCTTTTTATTTTTTTTAATTTTTCAGATGCTTTTTATTTTATTTTCTTACCAATTTTCCCTGGCTGGAACCTCCAATACAACACTGAATAGAAGTGGTGAGAGGAAACATCCCTGTTTTGTTCCTAATTATAGGGGAATGCTTTCACCATTAAGTATGATGTTACGTTTTTTATATATGCCCCTTATCAGGTTGAGGAAGCCCACTTCTATTAGTAGTTTGTTGAATGTTTTTATTGTACAAAGGTGTTAAGATTTTGCTATATGTGTTTTCTCAGCATATTGAGATTGTCATGTAATTTTTATCTCTTATTTTACTAATATGCCACATGACATTGATTTCTACATGTTGAACCAACCTTTCATTTCCTAGAGAAATCCCACTTCATCATGGCATAAAATGCTTTCTATATGTTGCTAGATTTGATTTGTATTATTTTGTTAAGAATTGTTTTGTCTAGGGGGTGCCTGGGTAGCTCATCAGTTAAGCATATGACTCTTGATTTCAGCTCAGATGGTGATCCTAATGTTTATGGTTTGAGCAATGTCAGCATGGAGCCTGGTTGGGATCCTCTCTCTCTCTCTCTCTCTCTCTCTGCTCCTCCCTCGTCCACAGTCTTACTCTGTCTCAAAAATAAATAAATAAACTTTAAAAAACAAGAAGTTTTGTGTCTATATTCATAAGAGATAAAAGTTTGTGATGTCTTTGCCTAATTTTGGCATCAAGTTGAATTAGGAAGTGCTCCTCCCTCTACTAACTTTGGAAAAGTTTATGAAGAATTTATAGTAATTATTGTTTAAACATGTGGTAGAATTTACCAGTGAGGCCATCTAGTCCTGGATTTTTCTTTGTGAACGTTTTTTGATTACTAATTCGCTCTCTTTGCTCATTACGGGTCTATTCAGATTTTCTATTTCTTCTTGACTCGGTTTTGGTCATAGTTGGTGATTTCTTGGGAATTTTCTCATTTCATTTAGGTTATATAATTTGTTAGCATACAACTGCTTATTGCATTGCCTTGTAACCCTTCTTATTTCTGTAGGGATAATAGCAATGTGCTCACTTTTATTCATGATTTAGCCCTTTGAGTCCTCTGTCTTTTCTCTTTGTCAGTATGAGTCTTTGCCAATTCTGTCAATCTTCTCAAAGAATCAACCTTTTATTTTATTAATTTCTTCATTGCTTTCCTATGACATGTTTTAGTTCTCTTCTCTCTAATCCTTATTACTTCTTTCCTTCTATTGGCTTTGGGGTTAGTTCAATCTTCTTTTATTGAATTTTTAAGTTGGTAGGCTAGAATATTAATATGAAATCTTTCTTCCTTTTAAAATAAATGTTTACATCCACATGTTTCTCTCAGTGCTACTTTTACTATGTCCCATACATTTTGGTAGGTTGCATTTCCATGCTTCTTCACCTCAAAATATTTTCTAATATATTTTGTTATTTATTCCTTGGCCCATTAGTTATTTAGTTTATTCTTAAATGTCTACATGCTTATAACTTTTTTTCTATTACATTTAAAAGAAATTTTTCCTCTTCAGGGTTTTTTTTTTTTTTTTTGAGAGAGAGAGAGAGAGTGAGAGAGAGTGCGTGCATGTGTGAGTGGGGGAGGGGCAAAGGATAAAAAAGAGAATCTTAAGCAGGCTCCCTGCCCAGTAAGGAGCCTGGTCTAGGGCTCAATTTCACTACCTTGAGATCATGATCTTAGTCAAAACTAAGAGTCAGACCTTGACCAACTGAGCCACCTGGGCATCCCAAATTCTTTCCTTTTCTTTATTTTAAGTTTTTTTAATTTTTTAGTAATCTCTATACCCAACATAGGGCTCAAATTCACGACCCTGAGA